TTAATTTTAATTTTTTANATAGTTTAAATTTTATATAGTTAAATTTTATATAGTTAAATTTTCAATTTTTATGAATAAATTAATTTATTTTATTATTAAATTAAGTCATATTATGCATAATTTTTTTGGATATTTTAAAATTTCTATTATTTATTATTTTTTTTATGTTTATTCCAAAATTTATTAAATCTAAAATTAGTTAGAATAAAGTAATTCTTATAGGTTTTAAAAACATGTTCAAATTAAATATTATTAATTGTTTGATATCATGGTATTTTAAATGAAATATATATATATATATATATAAATATATAAATATATAAATTTATTTATTAATCTTATATATCCTTTTATTTAATTTTTTTTACTTTTAATTAATTTTTAATTTTATAAATATGAATCATATTCTTTAAAATATCTTATTTAATTTTATTTAATTTTTTTCTATTGTATCTTGATTTAATTTATATAAAATTTTTAATTATTTAAAATGCTTAAATAATAATATATTAAATTAAGACATTTTAAATATTATTTAAATTTTAATAAATATTTATTTTTACAAAGTTTGGGTAGTAAAAACATAATAAAAAAAATTTTAGGAATATGATAATATATTATTCTTATTTAATTTTTATGTTATTTTTTTATATTACTTAATCTTATCTAATTTTAATTGTTTAATTTTAAAATTTATATTATTGATAATCTAAATGTAAATATTATTAATTTAGTAAATAAAAAATTTAATAATATAAATATAGATATATATATGTTTTTATATAGATATATATATCAATATATAATATATATATATATATATATTTATATGTATATATTTTATAATTATTATATATTAATATTTACTTATTTATTTTATTTTCTTTTAATATTATTTTATTTTTAAAATATTTTAAATAATAATTATTTATATTTTTTATTTATTTTATAAATATATATTTTTTTTAAACTTTTTATATATAAATAAATAAATGAAATTTAATTATTTATATTCATAAAAAAAATTTATCTTGATAAATTTATTTTTTAATTTTTTTATTATTTTTTTAAAAACATAATTTTTATATATATTTTCATTTATTAAATATTTTAATTTTCTTATATAAATAATTTTTTAAAATTATCTTTTTTAACTATTAATGATTAAATAAATATTATTTAAAATAATTTATTAATGTAAATTTTTATATTTATTATATAACGAAAATAATCATCTATAAATAACTTAATATAATTTTTAATTAAAATTAAATATTATTTTATTATTTATAAATAAAAAGATCCAAATAAATTATTAAATTATATTATAATTTTTTTATAAAAAAGTTAGTTTATTTTTACAATTTTTTATTATATATATTTTTTTCGAAATTCGAATAACTCTAATATAATAATATTGAAAAAAATATAAAAGAAAAAATAGTATATAATTTTATAATAAAAAAATACATAATTTTTTCTAAAATTAAATGAATAAATTAAAAATATTTCTATATAAAAATTTACTATAATAAATTTTAATTTATAATTCCGAAAAAAATAAAATTCTAAAAATTGAAATGAATTTTTATATATAATATAAATATATGGGTTTAATATAATGATTATTTAACAATTATAAAAATTTTAATAATTATTAATTAATCTTATAATATAATTTTATAAAATATTACAATAAATATAATATTAAATATAATTAATTACAAAATATTTATTTTTAAAATATGTAAAAACAATTAATTAAAAACATTTTTTTTTTTATTTTTCAGAAAAATAAAAACAAATAATGATATAAAGTTTTAATAAAAAATAATTATTTATTTTTAATTGTTAAGAAAATATATAAATTTTTGATTAATTTAAATAGTTTTTAAATATAGAATAAAAGGAAAAAAAAATTATATTTTTTTATGTTAATAATGTATTTAAAGTAATAAATATATAAAAAAATATTCTTATTTTATTTTATTATAAAAAACTATAATAATAAATTTTTTTAGTTAATAATTTTTAAATTGTCTTAAGATTAATAAAAGAATAATAATTTAAGTATATACTACATATCATTCTTTTTGCTTAGGATTAGGAAAAACGTTATTACCTATAAATGCGTATACTTTCAAAAGTCTCTAGAAAATAGCTTTGATGTTTCTATAATACTTATAAGGTGATCATTTTATTATTCCGTTATTCCCAAATTCATTTTATCTATCTTAGAATAATCTATAGTTATTTTTATAGGCTTTAGATCCTTACCTATTTAAAGAATACGTTAATCATGGTTTGAATTTTCCATTTTTTAGTAATCTTCCTACATTTTCTAATAGTGATTTTGTATTTCTTTGCTCTACTAACCGCATTTATGGTTAGAATGAGCAAATATACAAAAAATTAAAATACTAAAATATTTTTTTTTTTAACATATTTATTTAATTTTTATTTCTTTTAAATGCAAAATATATGCATGTATTTCATGTGGATTTAAATATTTAAAAAGTTATTTTTATAGAATATATTTAGAATATTATAGTATTTTTTTATTAATTTATTAAATAATAAATTATTTATTTAAATATAATTAAGAATTATATATATATATATATATATATATAATAGATATATAGATATATATTAGTAATAACTATATTACTTTATATTATAATATATATTACAATAATATATAAATTTAAATAAAAATAACCTAATTTAATTAAATAAATTTGAATTTAAATATTTTTAATTTATATATAAATAATTTTTTAATAAATATTATTTAACTTATTAAACAAAATTTATTCATTATATATTATTAAAATAAATATATACGATTTTATACTTATAATAAAATATATTTTTGAATATAAAACAAAAATAAATAAATATTTATTTTATTTTTATTTTATAATATTTATTAAATTATTTTATATTGAGATCAAGTTTTTATATAAATAAATTATGTTATACTTTTTTTAAAAAAATTTATATATAAAATTTATTATCAATAAATTTTTAATTTATTATGTTATATATTTTTTTATTTTATATTTCCTAAAAATCAATTATTAATAATGCAATTAAATTTTATTATTATATTTACTTAAACATTAATTTTTTATTTTTTTAATGCTAATAGAAATAAAATTGGTTTATAAATAAGTTCTTTGTTATTTATAGTTTTATCGTCTAAATAAATAAGTTAAAAACAAAAAATTATAATAAAATAAAATTTTTTCATAAAATATTTTATTTTAGTATTAAACTATTTTTTTTTTTTCAATAACAATTTTTTTAAAAAAATTACAGTAAGCTATAATTACTGTATAAATTTTATAAATTTTAAACATTAAATATATTATTTTTTATTATGTGATTATTATATTTTATAATAAGAATTTATTTATAAAATAAAAATTAAAAACAATATAATTTATTGAATATTTTATTTTTTGTATACTAAAAAATAAATTATTATTTCTTATTACATATATAATCTATTTTTTTTTTGATTTATGATAGTAATAATTTATTTAGAATAAATTTATAATAAATAAATAAATGTATTAAAAAAATAAATATAAAAAGAATACATTATTGCAATTGAAATAAATATATAATTTTATAAAAAAATTTAAATTATTTTTAAAAATAAGTATATAAAACTTAATTATAAAAATAAATAGAATTTTTTTTAAATTTATTTATGGAAAATTTCAATAATAATTAAATTTAATCTATTATATAACAAATTATACAGAACCAATGCATAATAATATCTATTATAAATATATATTTATTAAAAAATTATTTTTAATACAAATTTGCATTTTTTATTCAATAGTTATTGAACATTAATTTTTTATTTTCATTAAAAATTAAATATCTTAATATTTATCATAAATATAATTTAAAACAAAAAAAGAGTCAATAGAATTATAAAATATGAATTATTAATTTAGATAAATAAAATATTTTTTTATTTTTAAAACATTAAAAAAAAAGCTTCTTAGATATATTCAGAATGATAATGTAAGCTATATAATAGTAATTATTTTAAATTTAAAAGACCATCAGCTAATAAGTGTTTCTTTTTGGCATTATTATATGAAAATTAGTTTATCGAAAAATGTAATGAGAAATTCGGATATTAACCTAATTATGACTCATGTAAATGCTAGTCTGAGATTTCATGAATTTCTAAAGGAAATTGCGAAACTTGTGAAAAACAAAATTCTCCTTTGTGTTATACTTGTAAAACAGGTTTTTTCTTTTATTAAGTTAATAAGTCGTGTTTAATTAAATGTCCATTAGGATTTATAGAATAATAAAAAACATAAGAACTTTCTATTAGTTGTCTTTAATAAATTGATTTTAATACATGGATTATATGTGATACTACTAAAGGATATAAATTAGATACACATAATAAATGTACCTTTTGTAAGCAAAATTGCATATCATGTAATCCTAATCCTAATGATGTAACCGAGTGTTTAGTTTGCGAGGGAATTAAACTAAAGAATTATGATGGTAGTTGTGTTAATGTATGCCATTAAGGTACTTTTTATTCTATTGATAGTCAAAAATACGAAAAATGTACTGAAAAATGTTTATGTTACAATTAAATAGATTTTAGTTAATAATAAAAAGTTAATATGTTGATTATAAAACTAAAGTTTGCACTTGAAGTTTTTAACTGAATTTAATTTTGAAAAATTACGAAAAAAATCTCTTCAAATTAATGCCCTAATGATTATTTAATTGTAGATTTAGAAAATGGATAATGCTAACATTATTTTAAGAATTTAGAGAGTTTTTAGTACGTTTGTAATATAGATGCTTAATATGCTGTTCTGAATCATATCTAAAGTAAGGTGATGTCTTTTAATAAAATGGTTATAAAGGAGTTTTGATTTTTTTATTATTAGTTATGTTATATTTATATTTGTATAATTATTGTTATAATTTTGAAAAATTAAATAAAAAGATTGTTTATGTATATATTTATAAATTTAAGTATATTTTTTTTAATTTAATATTTTTATAATTATTATTTTGAATTTTTATTACTTTTTCTTATTTTTTTTTTACGAATTATAAATATATATTGATCTTCAATAATATTAAAAAAATACTTTTTTATTTTATCAAATAATTAAAAATTGTAAAATTATTTACTAAATTTATATTTTTTATTTTAAATAAAATAAAATATAATACTTTATTAATTTTTTACAATAAAAAAATCTAAAATAAAAAATATTGAAATTAATTATATATATTTTTTTAAAATTAAAAAAAAAATCTTAAATCTTAATTTAATATAATAATATGAGGATATAAGGAAGTTTTTACTTTTTAAAATAAAAATATATAATTTCTAAAATAAAATAAATATAAATATTATTTTTTAAAAAATTTAGATTTTCTTAATTTTTTAAATTAATATATATTTATTATAATTAGAAATAATATTTTTATCAACTTCATTATTATTAAATAAGGCGAAAAATATTTAATTAATTTCAATTTATTATATTTTCATTTAAAATATTTATTTATATATTTTTATTATATAAATATCTTTTTTTTATAATCAATTATATATTTTATTAATAAAATTTTTGTTTAAATATTATATATAATGAATATATATATATATATATTTATTTAAATATAAATAATTATACTTATAAATAAATTATAATATATTTATTAGAAATAATATATTTTTGATATTATAAATCATATATAATTTTTTATATAATTTATTTTTACTTTTCTTTGATTTTTATTTTTTTCTTTTGTACATTTTATACATTAATTTTTTATTCATTTTTTTATTTATTATTCTTGATATTTTTCAATAAGTTATCATATATTTTGTATAATCAAAATAAAAAAGAATAAAGTATCCATTTTTTTTTATAAAAAATATTTAATTAAATATAAATTAAAATTATCTAATTCATACTTTTTATATGATTTTTTTACTTTTTTATACAAAATCTCTATATTAAAATAATTTTTGAATAAATTAATGTTTGTATTAAAAGAGAATGTATATAAATTTATTAATAATAATTAATTATATTAATTTTAAAAAAAATTATTAAAATAAATAACATGATATTAAAAAAATAAATATTATATTTTCTTAATATATTTTAAAAAAATTTTATAGCTTAATTATATAATTTTATTCAATATTTTTTTCAAAATATATGCTATTCCAGTTTTTTCTTTAAAAGTAATATTTTTCTTCTATATAAATAATAATTAGTATTATATAAATATAACATATTTATATATTTTAAACTAAAATTAAGGATTATCAACACTTTTAAAATATAACATTTTAAATAAAATGAAAACCTTTTATAAAGATATTTACGCAAGATAATAAAATATTAATCTTTTATAATTTTCGGATTAATATTTTTTTTTTCTATTATATAAATTATAAATAAACTGAAATAAAAATTTAAAAAATAATTATAATTTATAAAGCAAATATAATACAAAATGTATTTTAAATATTAATTAATTTTCAATATTTTTAAATAATGTAAAAAATAATAATATAAAAAAAATTTAAAATAAAAAAAAACAGGATTAACAATTATATAAATATATATATATATATATATATTTCAGAATTATATATGTAAACATTTTAATATATAAATATTAATTCATACTTAAAATTAATTTAAATTAAATATGTATTTTATAAATTATCTTTTTTTTTTAATTTTAGTAAATTTAAAATATATTTCAGAAATTAAATAAATAAATATATAAATAAATAAATATATAAATATTTAATTATATATTTATATATTTATTTATTAATAAAATTTATATATAATAATATTATTTATACATTTTTTTTTAAATTATATTCTAATAAAACTTCATTTATAACATTTAAATAATTATTTTATTTATATCAAAATTATATTTATAAAATTTTATAATAATATAATATATTATAATAATAAATATATTATAAACATAAATAAATATATTATAAAAATAATATTATTAATATTTTTTTTATATATTTTTAACATAGAATAATTCTTTATTTAATATTTTATTTTTAAAAATTTATATTTTTTTGTTTCCTTTAAATAATATATAATTTTTATTTAAACTTATTACCTTATGTAAAAATTAATCATTATGGTTCATTATATATAAATTAAAAATTTATTAATATTTTTTTATTTTTTTTTATTTGAAATCAAAATTTTTATATACAATAATTATGTAATTTTATCAATTTGTTATATATATTTTATTTATTTATTTTCTTTTCTTTTAATTTCATTTTATTTAAATGTTTTATATATTTATATACTTATTATTTGATATAATATTTATAGATATTATTTTTAATTATTGAGTTTTTAATAAATCTTCTTATTTAGAAACTTTTATCATTTAATTTATTACTTTTCTAGTAAATTAAACATTACCATTAGTTAATTTTAGCATATTTTATTATGTATTTTCGTAAAAATTTTATTTATTATCTTACTTTATTGATATTTCGAATGAATTTTCATATGAAGAAAGAGATAAATCTTCTTAATTTTAGAATTATTTTTTTTCAAATTCAGGGATTACAAGTATTTTTTTCTATTACAAAAAAGTTTTATTTCAATTTTTTTAATTTTATTTATATTTATGTTTTAAGAATAATATTTTAATAAAGATAATTTTTTATAATTAAATATATTAATTTTTATATTATTTAATAAATCAATCAATTTTTTTATTCTTATATTAAAATATATTTATATTAATCACTTAGTTTTATATAATTAAATATAAGAAATATTAGTCAAATTCATTTCAAATATATAAAAAAATAAAATATAAAGCAATGTTTTATATATAGCAAATTTTTTTTTTTTTTTTTTTATATAATTAATTTTTTTTCAAATAGTATATTTATTATATATAATTTCAAAAAAAAAAAATAAGTTATATGAAATATTTTTTAATATATTATATTTTTTTTTATACTTTTTCAAGTATTTTTTTTAGATTTCTTTTATAACATTCATAGGGAAAAGGGTGTAATATAAAAATACAATTTTTTTGAATTTTTCTTTTGTAAATATCTATTTCTATTCTAATTAAATATATATTATAAAATAGAAAAAGTTAATATATTAATATTTTAATAAATTATTAACGAAAAAAAAAAAGCTATCTATCATAATTTAAAAATGAATTCAATAAAAATTAAATTTAAGCTTGCATTTATTATAAATTAATATTATTATATAATTACAATATTATGAAATCAAATATTATTATAATTTTTCTTATAATATTTTTGTTTTGATTATATTATAAAAAGTTAATATATATAGAAATAACTAAATATAATGTATTTAATAAAAAATAAAAACTAGGCTAAAAATAAAAAAAGTATTAAAAAAAAATTATTATAATAAAAAGAATAAAAAAGAATATACAATGTTTTTTTTTAAAAAAAAATCTAAGAAATTAAAAAAAATATATAAATCAAATATTCATAATTTAAAAATTAAAAATTGCGCTACTTTAAATTTTTTTTGGTTTTTTTTGTTTTTAATTTTATAATATTATATTATTATTATTATTATTATTATAATTATTATAATATTATTATTATTATTATTTTTATATTATTATTTTTTTTATTTTGTTTATTATCATTATTATTATTTTTATTTATTATTATCTAATTTTTTATTTTTCTTTTGTTTTATAAATCAAAATATATAAAAAATTATATAAAAAAATTACCTAGTCGACATAAGTAATTTTAATTTCAAACTCTTTATTAGGAATATATAGTGCATCTATATTTATTTCAAGAAAATCTTAAATATTAATTTAATTAAACCAATCTTCTTTAATAATTTCATCAAATCCGTTTTTACTTCCTAATCTTTATTATGGATCTTTATCTAAAAGCTATATTTTTATTTAATAAATATATATAAATATATATATATATATATATATACATATATATATATATATATATTTTAATTTTTTTTTACTAAAAATTATACAATTTTTATATTTATTACTTTGATAATAAGAGATTTACATGCATCTGAAATTTCACAATGCTAAGGAAATATAACATTACTATTTAATATCAAATAATATTATAATTCTATGTTCTCAGAATAAAAAGGAGGCATACCAGTTAAAAGCTCATATATTAAAATTCCCAAGCTCCAAAAATCAGATTATTTTGAAAAATTATTTTCTCTTAAGTTTTCAGGAGCTTTTATATACATATATATATAGGATAATTAAATATTTTTTTTTTTAAATGAATACAAGTATAAATTATAAATAATTATTTATCTAAATTTAAAGTTTCGAAAAAAGTGCTTCCGTAATTTATTAATTATAAATGACCTTTTTAGTCTATTAAGATATTTTCTGGCATTAAATTTTTATAAATTATTTATTAATCATGGAAGTATTTTAATCCTAAAAGTATTTCAATTGCAAAAAATTTTACTCTATAATAATATATAATATATAAATAAAAAATAAAAAAACTATATTTCTGTAAATTTATTTTCTTATTTTAAATGATAAAATAAATCTCCTTTGCTTTTTTTAATAAAAAATATAATATATAAATATATATATATATATGAATATATCTTTATATATTTATATATTTATATATAACTATACTTAAAAAATGGAATTAATAAACAATAAAAATCTTAATCTTCGTATGTAAAAAATGTTTAAACTACATAACGACTTATTTTCTTTTTAATATAATTTTTTTTAAAAAAAAAATTATATTATAGTACTTCTTATTTTAGAGTATTTTTTTAAATTTTCTGTATTAAACTATTGTTCATTTTAAAGTTTTACTTTAATATTTATTTTAATGCAAATAGTTATTCATTAACATCTTTATGTCTTACTAACAAAATCTATAAGTATATTTTATTATTTAACAAACTTAACATAAAATAAAATACTTTAATATCATCATATTAGTTATTAATATAACCTATAATTTCTATTTTATTAACTTAAAAATTTATTTAAGTAATATCTTAAGATTATTATTCTATAATAGGTAAGCGCTTATTTATATTTTTTACTTAAAATAAAAAAGAACGTTTTTATAAATATTATAAAAAATACTTCAAATCTTGCTTATAAAGGCATATTTGATTTGCTACATTTTTTATGTGATTTTAAAGTCACATATTTTTCTAATGATTTTTCATCAGTATTCTTTTGAATTTGTTTTCATTATAAAATATTTATATATATAAATTATATTTATTTTACTAACATAAAACAAATTAATTAAAGTGTAGTTTTCATATGAAAGGCTTTTATTAAACTTTCAAATAATAAATTTTTGCTTTTTTTTAATCAAAAAATTATTTAAAATATATATATATTTTTTTAAAAAATACTATTAACATTCAATTTACCAATCATTTTCTTCTACATATTAATGAAAATGAATAATAATTTAATTAGAATTGGAATTTGTTGTTAATGCGCATATACTTTTCAAGTTTATTCTTTTTTTTATAACTTAAATTATAACATTTTTATTTTTTTTTTTAAAAAAAAAAAATACTTTCTTCTCTGCTTTTATTAATTTAAGGAACTGAAGTTAATATTCGAAGTCTTTAAGATGTAATCATTAAAATTTGGTTTTTTTTCTTTCTTGCAAATAATTTGTTTGGATAATATTCAATTTAAAATATTCCTATTTCAATTTCTTTTTTTAAAATAATTTTTTTTTTCAATTTAATAACAAAAAAAGAAAGGAACCTTAATCATTTGGTAATTAATGTTTTTTAAGTATTTTTTTTAATTCAAAAGAAATCATTTTATTTTTTAAAATATTTTTATTATTAATTTATATATATTGAAAAAAAAAAAGAAAATGTAAAATACATAGTAATTGAAATTTTAATAATAAAATTAAATTTAAATAAAAGGTATAATATATTAAATATTGTAAAATTTTTTTGATAAAAAATAAAAATTCTATTATTTTTAATAAAAATAATTAATAAAATAATAGATTTGTTAATAATAAATATTAAATATTAAAAAAAAATATAGGACATATTTCAATAAAAAAAATAAATATTTAAAGCAAGTAAAAATAAATATAAATAAAAAACATTAATCATATATAAAAACAATAAAAATGAATAAAAATCGAAAATAGAATAAAAAAATTTGATAGAAAATAAAAAAAAAAATACATAAATAAAAATAAAAAAACATTAAAAATTATATAATAATAATAAGAAAATATAATAAAAAATAATAAATATAAAATATATATATATATGTATCTATATAAATATATAAATATATTTTAATAATATTAAATACATAATTATTATTTTTTTAGATTTATTAATAAATTATTTTAAATGTTTCCTATTTTTATAACGTGAATTTATTTGCATGTTTAATATTTTAGCAGAAATATTTAATTTTACTTATCATGTTTTCCATATATCTCATTTCTATCATAAGAATTATGAACAGTAAATTATTAACGAAAATCATTAAATTAAAACTCTATATATTATATTTATAGAATTAATTAATAAATTTAAAAGTAGTTTGATTTTATATTTAAATTGAAGGTTTAAAATTAATATATAAAATTTGAAATCGCAATTATAGTTTTTAAATTAATAAATTTTCAAAATATTAAATTTTAAACATTAAATTAAAATGCCAAAATAAAATTATGAAAAAAAATAAAAGAATTTATAAAAAATAATATACTTAAATTTGATTTCTTTAGAAATTTAATAAATAACAAATTTTATAAAATAAATGAAATAATTTAAAAAAAAAATTAAATTTATTATATTTATTTATTTAGTAATAAATTAAATAGCCTTAAAAACACACTTATTATATATAAATGTATTTATACTATTTATTTTTTTAATATAAATATTTATATAATAATTATATGATATTTTGTATTTATTTAATATTTATTTTTATTAAAAAAAATTGTATTTTTATAAAATAAATAATGATGTTATCATACAATTCGAAATTTCTTTTTAAAAAAATTATCTTTTTAATGTTTTTATACTGTTTTATAAAATATTTAAATTAAATATTATTATAAAATTGTACTTTTTTTATAAATTAATTTAATAATTTAATTAATCAATTTATATTAGTAAAAATATAAAAAATAAAACAATATAATTATTAAACACTAACATTAATATAACATAAAAAATGTCATCTTATATATAAATAATAAAAATAATTTTTGTTTTTTAAAATTGTCACAATAATAATCCAAATAAAACATATACAATAACAAAATCAAAGACTCCTTAATAACTATTATATTATTAAATCTCGCCTTAAAAATAATTTAATAATCTAGACTTCAGTAGTACTTTGCATTATTTTTATTACTCATTATATGTATATCCAGAATTACATTATGTGCATTTAGTTTCCGTACATTCTTTACAATTAGTGTATTTTTTTAAGCAAGTTACGCATTATTTCGTGCTATTATCAAAAATAAAACCTTAGTTACATGATAAGCATAGTCCAGGTTATTTGCATTCTTTACATCCTGTTGAGCATTATATTCCTTTATTTCCTGATATTCCATTATTTCCTTTGTTTCCTGTAACTCCACTATTACTAGTTTTTCCTGTATTTACATTTTTTAAAGTATTTCCAGTAGTTCCAGTAGTTCTAGTAGTTCCAGTAGTGCCAGTAGTTCCAGTAGTTCCAGTAGTTCCAGTAGTTCCAGTAGTTCCAGTAGTTCCAGTAGTTCCAGTAGTTCCAGTAGTTCCAGTAGTTCCAGTAGTTCCAGTAGTTCCAGTAGTTCCAGTAGTTCCAGTAGTTCCAGTAGTTCCAGTAGTTCTAGTAGTGCCAGTAGTGCCAGTAGCTCCAGTAGTTACATTAGTTCCAGTAGTTCCAGTAGCTCCAGTAGTTACATTAGTTCCAGTTGTTACAGTAGATCCAGTAGATCCAGTAGTTCCAGTAGTGCCAGTAGTTCCAGTTTTTACAGTAGTTCCAGTTTTTACAATAGTTCCAGATTTAACAGAGATTTATTAGCATTATTTTTTTAAAGAATCAAATTAATATCCATTATTACATTTTTTACAAGATAGACTATCACATGATTAACAATTAGTATATTTAGAAGAACACTAAGCACACGCCTTAGTTTTAGTATCAATATAATAGCCTTCTTCGCATTTTATACAACCTGATTAATTACATTATTAACATTTTTGAGAACAATTTTCACATTTTCCACTAATAATAGATAAAAAACTAGAATTTGGACATCTTTCTAAACAATTAGTATCGTAAATTTCGAAATTATTTTCGTCACAAACTAAACAATCTGCTAATTTTTCAGGATTACATTAGGAGCAATTTTACTTACACAAAGTACATTTTTAATCTGAACCTAATCTATATCCTTTACTAGTATCACATTTATTACATGTACTAGAATCATTTTATTAAAGACATCCAACAGAAGGTCTAACACATTCTTATGTTTCTTAGTTTCCGACAAGTCCTTAAGTACATT